TGTCCATTCATAGATATTTTGCTTGCATCCATTCAAACAGAACGATATCTTGGTAAGTATCTTACATGCATGTTGTTATCTTGGTTTATCTCATTTACTGAGAAATGAATTTTTTCTAACTTAGTTGTTTGATTTTGCAGTTGATCTTCTCGGGGTTGTCACTTTTGTTCAGAAATTTTAAAGAGGAGTTCATATGTCCGATACATCGGATACACCCACAGAACGTCCACTTATTCGTTTTGTACTCGAAGATCTCGGGTAAGTACAACTTATCCTCAGAGTATCTGGTGTCAGACTTGGGTTTCTTGATATATTAAAATATGTTAATTATCCTCTATGTTGGTGTAAATATATACAGTGGAAATTCCTTGAAATGTATTGCTTGGGATAACTTGGCAACGAAATTTGAAGAACTTTGGACGAATCGTGATAAGTCTTCAAGGCATATTATTGTATTGCGATTTTTCTCTTTCAATAGGTGGAGGGGTACGTAAATATTAACTATTAATATCTATTCAATATGGCAATTAATCAGAAGTTTAACAGATTTATTGTTTCCACATGCATACTGAATATGTATATGTTATTAGATGAGTGGATAGTTGAATCGGAAAGATTCATATCTGATATTCTCGAGGATCCTCCTACTCCAGAAGTGGCAATAGCAAAGATGAGGTATGTAGATTCCAATTTTGATGTTATATCCTGTATATGTATTCTATTGACATCTATTTTATGATTTTATAATATTGTCATATTGTACCAGTCTTGAAACTGCAGTTGATTTTACCCCTTTGGATGATGAATATGAAGACCAGTTTCCGTAGGAGATATTAAATTTTTATTTCGTTTTTTATAGGTTGTGTATTTGAACAACATAGCTATTTTTATTTTTATTGTAATACATAAAATATTCAATATCTATAAACTTCATCAATAAACTTCATCTGTTTCGCAAAGCATCTCATTTTAGCGCTTTTTTATTTATTTATAAAGAGTGTCACTTTTTGTTTTCAATGCAAAATTGTGTTCATAGTCCATTGATACTGTTGTTGATTTAAAAGTATTATAATATTTTAATAGGAAAATAAATATGCATATATATAATCAACATATATTTTAGAAATTGAAAAAAGTAATGTATACGAAAATAATAATATGAGGAGATTTTTGATATAGTACCATCGTTTATTGAATCAAATGATAAAAACATATAAAAAAAAAAGAAAATAAAACATGCGAAAAAGAAACTATTCAAAAATTTAATATAACACCATTGTCTGATTCCGTGATTGTGGTCCGCATTCTCTCGACTTCTGGTAGATTAGGGTTTAGTAAAATTTCGGTACAATCGTATGCAGTTATCGCTGCCCAAGCATGTGCAAATTTGAACAGTTGCACGAAACGTATAACACAAATGTTAATTTTTTGTTCTTTCCGTGATAAAGCAGTCATCAGGTCCAGTGCATAGTCGTTCCGTAATAACTCTTGCAATCTAACATCTCTGTTGGGCATATAATAATCATATAATGTAGTAAAAATTGATAATTACAGTGATTGCAATTGAGAAACATATTTAAAAAACTTACGATTCGTTACGGAGTTCCACGTAAACATTACCCCACTTTCTTTGGCTCTTGGAGGATTTGTAACTAAATATTCCAATCACCGCGACGTGTCCAATTATATCTAATAAAAAGATTAGATAGTCATTGAGAAAGTTTATAGATATAAAATAGCATATATTTTTTGTTATTATTTATTAATTTATCTAAAGTCATACCAACGAAAAACAATGGGTCTCGGAGATTGTTGTGTATGTTACCAAATTCAACGATACTTAGGTAGTTGTTGTTATCATAGAAAGGGATCTTTGAAAAATAAGTTTGAGAATTCCATATTATTTTATAATTGTGCAACGTCGGCCTCAAATCTCCGATGACAGGGACTACACCAAAATGGTACAGAATAATTGAATCTCCTTGCTTCACTTCTGATGTAAAACTGTCTATAAACCCTTTTGATATTGATCCATGTATTTTATCACCCTAAAAAAACAAAAATATGTATATCAGAGACGTGATATGCACGAAAAATATAAAGTCACCGGAATACCTTTTTATCAACCAACACCAAATCTAAAGTGTTATCAGGTTCACCGATGTGCCGCAGTATTTTCACACGAATACGGCGTAGTTGAATTGATGGAGTTATATCGGAGACATTGGTGTGAGTCATGTTTTTCATTGCTAAAAGACAAGCAGAGATCGACATGATGTAGTGCCGATAAAACCTAAAAAGTAGTCGTCATATATAACTCGGTAATGCTAATACATCGTTTTTATATATAACGATGTAAATGGCTCACCTCCGATATATTCCTAATACCAATTGGAAAATTGTTATAATTATAATAGTATATTATAATAGATCCCTAATACAAATCGGAAACGGTATCCCTGTGATCGTGATAAATTTTCTATCAAGGTCCTATGTTATCCTAAAAATGTAAAATAAGCATTAAGGTATCTCAAAAATGTAAAATATTCGATATATCCTTTTATTTTAAATTGTATAAATAGGAAATGAATGTTTGGTTTAAGTATTGTCTCTGCTATGTTTATTTAAGTTATCTTTGGACGTAATCGTTGTAGTTGTTTTGAGGCTCTGGGTTTGCGTTTAACCTAAATGGCTTATTTACTATCTATCGCCGCCGTGTATAAAAAATATGATCAAAATCTGTTTGGAATTTCCGAACTCGATCCTACCAAACATATATGGAAGACTAAGTTGAAAGTCTTACGTAAATTTAAAAGATTTCCTGAATGTGACCGCACGTTAGACTTTATAATAGGGGATTGGAAGGTATAACACATCAATTTCATTATTATATTTTAGTTTTTGTAATGATAAATGTCTGAATGTTTGATTCCATACTTCTCAGGGACAGAAGATTTATGTAACTGCACCGATTGAATTTTATGATAAGTATTCGAGGATATGTAACGATGGTGATTGGGTTCTTCTAATAAATTTTAATCTATTGCCTCTTACTGGTGAATTTAAGCCAAGTACACATCCTTATATGATTCAACTTACCAGTGATACAACATGAGCAAGCTCTTATACTTTAGATATCAATGGTTATTTTTCGTTCGTTGTTTTCGAAGATATTATGAATGGGACTATTGATTTTAACTACTGTGTGGGTGAGTATTCTGTGTATTTTTCATTACTGATTTCTCATGCAGTTACTATATTGATTATTTGATATTCATTTTAAAAAAAAAAACAGATCTAATCGGTAAGGTTGTCAACGTTGGAAACACTCACGATAGAATTGGATCCTTAGGATACTCTAGACAGCCTATAATAAGATTTGATCTCGAAAACGAAAGGTAATCTATTTTATGTTAATAGAATTTAAAAAACGAATTTTTAAGTTTAACTCAGACTGTTATTTGTTTGATGTGGGAATCTTTAGGAACCGACGTCTATCATGTTTTTTGAAAGGTGATTATGCTGAAACTTTTCTTCGTGAGTTGGGTGGATGTAAACAAGATGTCATTATTTGCATCATTCGTTTTGCGAAGATAATTGTTCGACGAGGTATATTTTTATTTTTTATACGAGATGGTTGTAAAGTATATGCGATAAATATGATTTGATTTTCGTTTCTTCGATAATATAGGGTGTTTTTTGGCAACTACGTCGTATGATTGCACACAAGTTATTCTAAATTCGCCATGCTTCGAGGTCTATCAGTTTCGAGAGTTGATATCCAGTCGTTAAACCCTGATGTTACGAGTTCCGTGCTAATGTTTTAGGAATTATTTTATATCAATTTTTATTTTTAGGTTTTGTGGTTTGTGTTAAACATCGTATGTGATTTGAATAAAACTTGACTTTTGACACAGTGTATGAAAATAAGATTTTTTAATTATTATTTTCATGTATGGATTTCGATGTTCATAGTTATCCCCAAAACGCCTGCGTAACGAATTGTAGTATAATTGTTCACTGGAAAAAAAATATGTGATATAATTTATTGGATGATATGTTAAATAACCATATTTTTGGGAGAATATTCAATTTCTAACAAATATAACGATAGTCTTTTCGGTTTTCGTAAAACATTAGGATAATATATTTGTTGTAATGTAGAGATATATTTTTAGGATTAACTCTGCATATTTGGAATAATAAATAATTATTTATAGATCCGCATTATTGTAATGTAGAAGTATTTCAATAGTATTTTAACATTATCACGAAAAATGTAAATTTTCGATATTAGAGAAGATAGGCATATTATCGCGAAGAATAAGTAATGTTAACATTATCGTGCGATTTTCTATTTCGAAATCTTTTTTATTACCAAAATCTTAATTTATTATGAGAAGCTAAAATGTATATTTTGCATTATCGCGCGATATAATATTTCATATATATAGTTTGTTAATGATTGTGTATTTTGATCACACATTATTTTTTTTTTTTGTTCGTGCTCTTCACCAGAAAAAATAAAACGTAAGCTTGGGCGTCCTCAGAAAAAAGGTTCATCTTCGTCGATTGCTCCAAATAAAGGTGTTTTTTAAGTAAATTACATTTTTAAGACATTTACGTGTTATAAATTTGCTTACTATTAATTGTAATTTGTAGGTGGTAATGCTAAGAACGCACGATATGCTCTTACCAGTGTAACCGATATAGACCAACATGGAGGTTTGTTCGGTTACAATATCAATGAAGTTCCTGATCTAACACCCCCGGGAATTCGTAATGCACAGCAGAGACGAATGCATATCATGCGTGAGAGGAGAAAAAGAAAAGAAGCTATTGGTTTGATCTTCTTTTTCGTAATTACAATGTTTATTAATAATTATATGCCTGATTTTCACTTATTATTTTTTCCGTAAAAAAAACAAACAGATCTTTTGGCTACTTCTATCAACACCGAAGAGTTTGCTTGCTTTATTGCTACTGATTCTGAGTCCGATATGGATAATGATGAAGACTCTATGTCGGAAAGTGAGGATGTGGAAAAATCGAGGCCTGGTAATAAAAAGAAAGGAAGACCCAAAAAACGTGCTAAAATCTCTGATTTTTGTGATGAGGATGCAACAGAGACCGTTGTTACTAGAACAGATTTATTGGAATCAGTTAGTCCTGGTCTGAAAGATGGAGGTTATGGTTTTCATTGTACTAATATATTTCATTCAATACATAGTATATAACTACTGTGTAATTAATACTAAGCAATGAATATTATTTTAATTAGGTTATTACGACGATGGTGATCCTATATATATATATGTGGTAATTGTAAGGCTTATATGTGGTATGGAGAGAGGTTGGGTAAACGATATAGACGTGGGAAGCCTATATTCTCCATGTGTTGTGGTCAGGGTAAAGTCGTTTTTCCACTTCTTAAAACCCCTCCGAAATCCTTATTAGCATTGATGTATAATGATGGTGATTTGCGTGATCACTTTCGTGAGTTTATCCGGGCGTATAATATGATGTTTTCTTTCACTTCTCTTGGAGGAAAAATAAATAAAGAAATCAACGGCGGGAAAGGTCCTTACATTTTCCAAATGAGTGGGGAGAACTACCATTCTATAGGGGAGTTGCTACCACCTCCTGGAAAAGAACCAGCCTTTTTACAGCTATATATATATATGATACCGCAAATGAAACATCTAACCGAATAGCTGCTTGTGGGTATGATTATCATTCTTTTGGTTTATATTAAATTTAATCATTGAGATCAATTTTAGAACATATATGTATTGTTATTAAATGTTATATGGTTCTAACTGTTATAAGAATTTATTTTAAAAAATTTACAGGAAAACGGGACCAGCTGATAAATTGCGAGTGAAGGTTGTTGAGAATATAAAAAATATGCTAGATAAACATAACAAACATGTGGATGCATTACGAAACGTTCGAGAAAGGTTTGATCCTAACGATGATACAAGCCGGTTAAGGATAATTTTAAAGTGTGACAGGAATAGCGATGGAAGGACTGAGAATCTACCAGCTAATAATGAAGTTGCTGCATTGATACCTAATGATTTCGATGGTCAGGTAGATGCACGTGATATCATCATCGAGTGTAAAAAGACTGGGAATCTCAAAAGGATCAGTGAATTACATCCTGCGTATCTGCCTTTGCAATATCCATTATTGTTTCCCTATGGTGAAGACGGGTTCAGACTTGGTATCGATATTGGTTTTGTAGATACTCAAGGAGGAAAATGTTGCATATTACTATGAGAGAGTTTTTTGCTTACCGCATACAAGAGAGGGTTGGTGAGTCACCAATCATCCCTTTATCTGGAAGATTGTTCCAGCAGTTTTTGGTGGATGCGTACACAATGATTGAGACTAATAGACTACGTTTCATATCAATGAATCAGTCTAAACTTCGTTGCGAAAATTATGACAAAATAAAGAAAACTTTTGATGAAGGTGACACTGATCTTTCTGACAAGGGTAAACGTATTATTATACCTTCTTCTTATACTGGTGGTACAAGGTATATGGTGCAACATTACCTAGATGGATGACTACATGCCAGCATTTTGGTTTTCAGGATCTTTTCATAACTTTTACGTGTAATCCCAAATGGCCTGAGATTACCAGGCACCTAAAAAGACATAACTTGAAGCAAGAGGATAGACCAGATATATGTACGCGAGTCTTCAAGATGAAACTAGATGATCTCATGCACAGGCTCACCAAAGAAAATGTGTTAGGTGTCGTAAAAGCCGGTATGTTTTATTAAACTAAGTATCTTATTTCGTTTAGCAAGATAATGTTCATAACATTGCTATATGATCATGCTAACTAATCTTTTAAAAACTACCATTTATTCGTTGCAGCGATATACACGATTGAGTTTCAAAAACGGGGGCTACCTCATGCACACATCGTTCTTTTTTTAGAAGCTGGTCACAAGCTACCAATTGGTGATGACATTGATAAGATAATATGTGCTGAGATTCCTGACAAGGATATTGATCCAGCGCTGTATGAGATAGTAGGAGATGTCATGATGCATGGACCATGTGGTGCTTTGAATAAGGATAGTGTTTGCATGGCTGAAGGAAAATGTACAAAGTATTTTCCAAAAGCTTACAGTCCGATCACTAAAATAGATGATGTTGGATATCCTATATACAGGCGACGTAATGACAAGAAAGTTATCGTTAAAAAGGGTATTGAATGTGATAATGGATTTGTGGTTCCTTATAATAGGAGTCTCACACTGCTTTATAGGGCTCACATCAACGTCGAATGGTGTGTACAATCTCGATCAGTAAAGTATCTATTCAAATATATTCATAAAGGTGCTGACTACATTCGTGCAACTGTCAAGAATGATGATAAAGAAAACGAGATTAAGAAACACTTCAATTGTAGGTATGTTTTAAACATTTTGTTCACATATTTTATATCTTTGAAATTCCAATCTTCCATTATTTAATAATGTCTTTCTATGTAGGTACGTAGCACCTTCGGAGTCTACGTGGAGAATTTTCGGTAATCATACTCACCATCGCACGGTTTCTGTAATTAAACTACCCTTTCATTTACCGAATCAGCAAATGGTCATATACAACGAGGATGATCCAGGTGACGAGGTTATTAATCGTGTCTCAGTTGGTACGTCAAAATTCATTGCTTGGATGGAGTGCAACGATATGTATGAATTGGCGAGGACGTTAACTTATGCGCAATTTCCTACGAGATTTGTGTGGAATAACACAAAGAGAATATGGACGCCACGATCAAGGAGAGTTGCTCTTTGTAGAATCACGTACGTACCCATTGGGGCAGGTGAAGCGTATTATTTAAGGCTTCTGCTTAATTTAGTCAAAGGACCACGTAGTTTTGATGATATAAAAACGGTCAACAAAGTTCTACATTCTTCCTTCAAAGAAGCTTGCTATGCGTATGGATTATTGAATGATGACAAAGAATATATTGAGGCCATCAATGAGGGCGGCTTGTGGCTTTCTGCCAATTATCTCCGTCGTCTTTTTGTGATCCTGCTCACTACTCAAAGTATATCCATTCCTTCTAGAGTTTGGGATGCTACATGGCAGGTATTATCAGATGACATCATATATAATTACAGAAAAGCTGCCAGGGACCAAAGTAAGTCGTATAGTTGTTGTTTGCGTTGTTGTTATTATATATATTTAAGATATTGATAGCTAATTTATCTTTTGTAATTTTTTTGAAATTGTGTAGCTGTTAGTCTATCTCAGGAGCAAGTTAAAGACTTTACTCTGGTCGAAATAGAACTTCTTTTACGTGTAAGTGGGAGATCCTTAAAAGAATTCACACCTATGCCGTTTCCTGAAGATATTACTCTGGAGTCACGTGATAATCCTCTTATTCGGGATGAGAGGAATTACAATCGTGAAACTCTTAGAGTAAGAAACGAGCAGATGTTAGCCACTGTAACCAGTGAACAGAGAAGTGTTTATGATGAGATACTAGAAGCAGTTAATAAGAACAGAGGAGGTATGTTCTTTGTTTATGGTTCTGGAGGTACTGGTAAAACTTATTTGTGGAGTCTATTAGGATCTGCTCTACGTTCCCAAGGTGATGTTGTTCTCAAGGTTGCATCGAGCGGGATTGCTGCGTTGTTATTAGAAGGAGGCCGAACTGCGCATTCAAGATTTGCAATCCCTATTGTGGTTAATAAGTTTACCTTCTGTTCAATCAAGAAGGAGTCGAATCTTGCCGACTTGAAAAGGATTGCTAAACTCATTATATGGGACGAGGCGTTGATGATGAGTAAAGACTGTTTCAAGACTCTAGATAGAACGATGCGTGATATATTAGAAGTTGAGAAGCCCTTTGGTGATAAGGTCATTGTTTTAGGAGGGGATTTTAGGCAAATATTGCCAGTGATTCCAAATGCCGGGAAGACAGAGATACTTATGGCCACTTTGAATTCGTCACCTCTGTGGTACAAATGTAGAGTGTTGAGACTTACACAGAACATGCGACTTATAGCTGGAGATAATAGTCGTGCTATGCTTGAACGAGCTGCCTTTACAAAGTGGATCTTAGACATTGGTGATGGTACGATAAATGACGATGGTAGTGGTGAAGCCGTGATTGATATTCCTGATGATCTGTTGATTAAAGACTGTAAAGATCCTATAAAAACGATCGTCAAAGAAATATATGGGAGTTCGTTTTCGAAAGAGACTGATCCTAAATTTTTCCAAGACCGTGCCATACTGAGTCCAAGAAACGATGATGTAGATACGATAAATGATTATATGGTTTCAAAGTTACCGGGTATGTTTATTTTGTTTTAATTCCTCTTAGTTTATTTCTTTAGATTTATATAATACAACGGTTGTTTTGTATATAACAGGTGTTGAAAGGACCTATCTTAGCTGTGATAGCATTGATACGACTGAAGAAGTTGTTAATTACAATGATGCGTCTGAAGTACCCTCAGAGAGTGTAGCCAGTAAGAATAAAGGTGATTCCAACAATATGATTTATACCGAGGAGTTTTTAAATAGTATCAAGATGTCTGGTTTCCCTAATCATGTCCTGAAGTTGAGAGAGGGTACTCCTGTAATGCTTCTAAGAAATATCGACCCTAAGAATGGGTTGTGTAATGGCACAAGACTCATCATTATTAAGATGGCTAATTATGTTCTCCAGGCTCAGATAATAACAGGTAGCAAGGTTGGTGAAAAGGTACTGATTCCTAGGATATTCCTCTCTCCTTCGGAGATGAAACTTTCTTTCAGGATGAGACGCAAGCAGTTTCCTATCACATTAGCTTTTGCAATGACTATAAACAAAAGCCAAGGACAGACACTCGAAAAGGTTGGTTTGTATCTTCCAAGACCGGTTTTTACTCATGGACAACTCTATGTCGCTGTATCGAGGGTTACATCAAGAGAAGGTTTGAAGATATTGATCACCGATAAAGACAACAAACCACAAAACAAAACATTGAATGTCATCTACAAGGAGGTTTTTGACAAGATATGATATTCCTTTTTACTGTGTTTTGTTTTGTGATATGTTGTCTCTATGTATCTCGAAATATGTTAGTTCTTTTTATTGTATAATTCCATTACATTCGGTTTTATAGTTTTTAATAGATTTAACGTTTTTCGATTTTTCACTAAGTTGGATCTCATGTATTAATGGTTTGATCTCTGAATTTTAACTGTAGTCGGATATTTCAGTGACAAACTCTATTCGATAACATATTTTAACCAAACTTTAATTGTAGCATATTATTGGGCATCTATTGACATTTCATCGAGAATGCTTCAAAACCAAATTATCATGTCATCGAAATAAACTTAATAGTTTTTAGAAAATAAAACCAAGTACATACAGTCTTTAAAGTGATCATTGCAAACAGGAAAAAAAAAACATGAAATTGGTTTGAAACTGATATTGTTCTTGATTAAACTCCAGATCTCCTCTTTTTACGTTCCTTCTCCTTTCCCTTTAAGCACAGACACAAACAATCCGATTTAGATTTTTGTAAAATTATATAGCTTTGAACTAACTCAATATTATATTTAAACATGAATTGTTTCTACAACATACAGTTCAATCGGCAATCAATAACAAACTATAATGACTCAATAACATAGATTTTAGACAACTTTTCATAATTTAGATCTAAATATATTTCTGATCACGTACCCATTTGGCGGTGTCCATGTGTCTAATTTCTGTCTCCACAAAACCGCAACGCATGCACTTCAACCCTATCTCCAGATCTAGAATCAGGTCGTGTTTTCGTTTTGTGCAACTTGATTGGGGTGTCTCATTAGATGTGTTGCCTTTGTCATCCTCCATAAGTAGAATATACAGATTTTATAATTCATTGTGTAAGACATGATTAAAACAAACTTTAGTGAATAGGATGTATTACCTGAGGAATGTTCTGTTTGCCTTTCTGATTTGATGCGGTGAATAAGTGTATTTGTTCCCATAATTCTTCTTGCTCTATCTCGGAATCTGTTGGTGAAGGTGGTGACTTTGGTTCCACGACACCAAATCTCATTACCAATGGTGGGGGATTGATGATCAACAAGCCATTTTCATCGAATTTTTTTCGTTTGTGTTCGCCATGTTCTTATGAATTCTCTCAGAAACGATAATGGTACTTATAAAATATTTTAAAGTTTTTTGAAAAGAAACTCTCAAGTCAGTATTTATAAGGTGTGCAATAATAATCAATTTTCACGTTTTTCAATTTTTTTATGGGGAAGATTATGCGACTTTATGTTTGTAACTAACCGTTTGACTTTCCAGGTTTCCTGTTTCATATAATTTTAAGGAAAAATGCTCAAGTAGATACATAAAGTTATAACATAGAGGTCTACATAAATGGCATTTTTTTGTTATGATGTTGCATGAATATGTCATTTCCTAAAATATTGAAACATAAAATTGTCCAAATAACATAAGCCATAGAGAGATCATATTATTTTATGGAAAGTGTTGCAATTTAGCAAAAGATTATATTTAGTAAAATAGTATTATTGAGATTGCGTGTATATTTGGTGAAACTTAAAACATGGAATATATTCTCTCTGGCACGTGAAACGAACAAATCGGTCAATATCAATATGGAAGTGTCTTGACATAAATTAGTAGATTGTTGTTGGTTTTGACAGTAAATGGGCTTTAAATGGTAACTGTTCAAATTTTTCTTTTAAATTAATTCAAACGAAAATAAATTTATAAGAAAGTAGGATAATTCAGACAAAACCATATCGGGAAAAGTAAGATAATTATTTTAACATTAACTCTACTCCCTTAATATAGTTTTTTGTGATACTATATTGTTTACATATATGCTTAAATATTAATTTCAGACTTGAGTGAAGATACGAAACGATGTGCATAATTATGATTTAGCTAATATAAATTTTCATTGCAATAAAATTGTCATTTAACATATAATGTAAATTTTCATTGCAATAAAATTGTCATTTAACATATATAGATGGTTTTATAGTAAACTATCTTAAGAATTAGTAACAATGAGAATTGAAATATTAACATAATTTAAAATAGAAAAATCTCAATAATTTAAAATAGAAAATTATCAATATATATATATATATATATATCTTTTTATTTTACTCGAAGATAATATTGTTTCCTTATCTATATTTATCCTGAAATGTTAATATTCTTAATTTTCGGTTATAGGTTAATATAAAATCACATTTTTCTTATAAATATACTCTAAATTGCATAACCCTAAACGATAGGCATCACGCAATGGCGGATTATGATTTCGTTCGTCAATTGGACTCTCAAAGATCTGACTGGAGAATTATAGTGAAAATACTCAAAAAATGGATGGTGGATTACTCAGACGATAATCGAAGTCTAAATTTCATTCTGGTCGATGAAAGAGTAAATTTCATTAACTTAAAATGTTATTTGTGATAATTATTATTGAATTTGCCTATTGTTTTAACATACAATAATTTGTTCTTTTGTTGATCTAATGTTATTGTATAAACTTTTAGGGTTGTAGAATACAGGCTCGGGTAAACAATCAGATGATGGAGCATTTCAATCAAATATGCGAAGAAGATCAATGGTTTATGTTGACTGGATTTCTTTTGAATCCTTACAACTGGACTAATATCCAAAGTATTACAAAACACGATTACGTTATTACACTGACACAGGGAACAACGATCTCACCAGCTTTACCATTAACAAACAATTTATTCTATAATTTTGCATCATTCCTCTCGATTTATGAATTCCCAGATGCTCATTATTATCTAATTGGTAAGAATATTTTGGTATCTTCTTATAATGCAAAATTTATAGTTCGCACTAATGTCTTAATTTTGACTAATCACAATCGCAGATTTGATTGGAGTCGTTGAAGATGCTAGATATTTTACTATTACATACCCGGATGGAACGACTACATCATCAATTCGATTTAATATAATAGATGATGAGTAAGTATATCTCAAACTGTAGGTTTTTGAAGTTTAACTAATTAATTCTTAACTACATTCTTTGTCAAAATATAGGGAGTACATGCTAGAATGTGTTGCACATGGTGAATTGGCAACTGAAATAAGAGATAAGTGTAGAGAATACGAAGGTCCCTTTGCTATATGTGTGTTAACCGATTGGTGTGTAGCAATTGACGGGGGTATGTTCTCTGATGATACATCAATATGTTATTTACAAAAGCGTTGTATATAACATAACAATATTCCAATATATATGTTTTAGAGAATGTGTCTATCAAGGATCATGATGACGATGGTGTGTCCCGTTTTATCACTGATTCACCTATTGATGAAGTTTTGACCTTGCGCAATAGGTAAGTATGTTTCGATGTGTTGTTTAAATTGACTTATGAAACAAAAAAAAAATATGTATATTTAGATCTACATGATTTTGTTATTGAAATTTCAGGATTAGAGAGAGATTATATGGGCGGGATACAGATGATGTCTAATGGTTTGGGCCGATTAGAATGATTCAAATTCGATAATCCATATATATTATTAGTTTTTTTTAGACACTTTTTTTTTTCAAGACTGTTTTGGGTCAAGAAATTTCGTGTTATAACCAAAATTCGACTCTTCCTTTAACAAATAATTTGTGTTAACCAATAATCTATCTAGAATATTCATCATAAATTGCAACTTTCCAAAAATGGAACATTTTTCTTTTGGAAAATACGGAAAATGCACTGATACACGCGACACTTTCCATAACCGTTATTTGGATGTTATATATATCCCTATTTTCTCATATACATTGTTAAAAATGAACAACAAAGTAACCCTTCCCCCCAACTGTTTCTTTGGTTTTATAAAAACATTGTCCAGCAAAATTACGTTCACTAACTTGGTGTAATGATTGTATACTGAAGAAATTATTGTATTTTTTGATTATTTTTGACTCGGTATGCTCGTCTATCTTGGTTGCGTGTATGCTTAGTCCACCAGATGCAATTAGATTTTATTCTTTCATATTGCATGCTGCTAATGTCTCGAAAAAGTACATTAACGGATGAAAAGACGCCCTTGACAGACAATTGTTGTCATTTCAAATAAAACCTATAAATAATTTAATCTTTATTTTAATAATATATATTCAATGTTGTATGTTTCCATAAGTTTATTGGGTTGAAAAAGGAAATAACTGTCTAGAATGTAACGCGTATATATATATGTGTTCGCTTTCCTTCTTTTTTTTTTACTTTTCCTTTTGTGTTCTTGACAGAGAAAAAAAAATGTCTCATGTTGTTGATATCTCTAGGTTAGATTATTACACCACCGGTGGTGAAGTTCATGTGCAAGTTGTTCGACTCTGGAAGAATGTAAATATCTTTGGGGATACAATTGAGATGATTCTCGCTGACGATCGGGTATTTCGTTATGTAGTTGTTATTTCTTTATATATTTCATAGGGTTGTTTTTAAAAGCAATTTTTCTTTTGGATTTTACACTTGAATTTATGCGAAATCGATCTTAGGGTCATCGTATCGGCGCAACTGTCATGCCCGATGAAATCGCTCTGCATGGACCTGTACTTAAACAAGGTTACTGGTTTAGGGTTCGTCGATTCGTTGTTAAGAAGGCCAGTGGTTCGATATGCATAACCGTAAACAGGCATCGGTTTATTTTCGGATCTCATACGGTCGTGATTCCTATCTCTCCAGTAACCCATAATTTGCACTTGCATCTCAATTGCACACGCTTCTTTGACATCGTGACTCGCGGATTAGATTTTGAGTTTTTAATTGGTAATATTGGTAACCATCTGTTAGTTTTGTGACAATTTTAGTATAATATATCGTTTTGTTAATATCACTTTTTTTTTGTATTCGATATAGATGTAATGGGAACCATGTTGAAGATGGGTGATCTCTGTGAGATCAACAGCGATGCTTATGAGAACAATGCAACATATGTTCGATTTGAACTTCTTGATGCAGGGTAAGATCTATGAGTTTATATCCATATGTC